TTTTGCAGAAAATAACACACATGCTTTTATTTCCCAAGATAAGTTAAAATCAGATTCTTATAACCAATAGATAAATATTTATTTAATTTATATGGTCTGTATCATGTGATTCCAGACTCCATAAAAACCCTTTTGCTTAAAATACAGCAGCATCTGAAATATTTTTCTCTCATTTCACTTTTCCCCCACAGGAAGCTCTTAGTAAGGATGATGAAGAGGATGTGAAGCTCCGAGTCTCAATCTGAAGTTCTGGATGATCATGAGGTTATAGATGGAGGAGTGAGACTTTGGCTTCTACAGACCTACAGAGACAGATATCACATTTTAATCCATGTTAAACCATGGACTGGTTGATCACAGATCATGTATTGGTTATTTTGATAAATGATCATTAAAATAAAAATTACTGTTAACATCTGTAATCTATGAACTGCTGACTGATAAAACAACTAAACATTAATATTGTGTCTAATGGAAGCTTTTTTACTGATTAACAGGCACATGCATGAGATCAGATCCCTCTTGTGGACAATAAGTGTGTCTGCATTAATACATTAAAACAGCAGCGGGAGGAAAAGGCAGTTATGTCTAATCCTGCTCCTGGTGAGCCACTTTCCTGAGTTTAGCTCCAACCTGATTAAAAACACCTGAAACAGCTAATCAAGATCTTTAGGATTACTAGAAACTTACAGGCAGGTTTATTGGGTTCTGTGTTTCTAATTCATATAAAACTTGATTTCAATAAACAAATTATGTTGTTTACAAGTTGTGTTTGTGTTATCAGTTTCATGCATTTAAACACAAGACTGACATTTGACAGATATTAGTTAATAAATCGATTGGATTTTTTTTTTCCCACAACAGTTTATTTGGTACAATATTTCACTCATACTCATCAAACAGATTTGATATCAGCATATTCCCCTGCAAAATCTCATAACAAACACAGAGAACTGGACATCTTTCTAGTCCTGCTATGAGGCTTAAGCTCAGAATGAGTTGATTGAGCTGAGATGAGCATCGATGAATCCTTTGGATAATTAATTGTTTTTAGCCAAAATCAATTTAATCGTAAATTATTTTTTTAATGGTTAGCTGTGGTAACTCTATTACACATAAAAGAGCTGTTGGCTCACGGAGACGAAAGCAAAATGCCCCATAAAAAATAAATACATTTACACAGTTAATGTGTTCAAATTCAATTTTTCTTAATATTTCTATGTGACAAAAATGAGCTATTCAAGCTCAGTGGATTGAGTCTTGTGTTTTTACATGTGCTGAATTTTTTTGATGTGCTCCCACTTTTACATGTGCTCTCACTACATAAACAAAATGGTGTGGTGTTTAAATGCAGGTCTTTGAGGAACAAAACTACAACAGAGGCATGTTCAAATCTCACAAATGTAGTAATCTCTTTTCTGTTTTAACAATGTAAATTTACAAGACCTAAAAACAAACCAACCCTCATCACAAATTCTGTGGCACAGAGGTTAATCGTTTGCCTTAAAATGTGAAAGTCTCGGCTCAAATTCTGTGGGTTATAGTTTTCGTCATATGACACAAAGTTCTCAAGAATATCACGGTCAAAACACAGTTGAAATCCACAGAGTCAGTGTCTCAGAAGATTAAAAATGTTACTTGTGTTAGCTTTAATTAATGCTGTAGCTAAACATAAAATCTAAAAGACCCTTGAAACAAACTTTTCCACTGTGTTACTGGCTCAGGAGATAAAGCATTTCGTTTTTTAATCTTGGAGGCCTGAGTTCAAATCTCACTACTGTGTTAAATTGCAGCTTTAATTAATGCTGTAGCTAAACATAACATCTAAATGACCCCCGAAACAAACTTTTGCAACAAACACCCCAAGCTCTGTGGCTTAGTGGTTGAGCGTTTGCTTCCCATACACAGAAGTCTGGGTTCAAATCCCACACTTGTGTGTTAATCATTATTTAAAACAAAGCTCTCAATAAAACCCTGTCCAAAAGACACAACATCAACAACTCCAGTAGCTCCGTGGATAGAGCTTGGGACTTTCATCTTGGAGACCGAAGTTCAAATCCCACTATTGCTTATATTAAATTGCTGTCATTAAATCCAACAAAGTTCCCCACACAACAATGCTCATTAAGAAAGCCACGATGGCTCCAGTGGTTAAACATATTGGTTGTGGACAAGAGTATGGTAAAGGTGTGGGTTCAAATCCCACCTCAGCATGTTAAAACTTTAACTGGTTTATGTCACAGGCGAATGATGAAATATAAGTTATTTCACTTGTTCAGACAAGAGATCTGTGGCTCACAGGTAAGAGCGCTGCCTCATGGTTCAGAGGTTGCTGGTTCAATCCCAGCCAGATCTCTGCGATATGAGTGAGTGTTGTGTGAATGAAGGAGTGGGGATGATTCGGGTCCCCCCCGAGACCTGGCATGACGTCCAGCAGGGGTTATACTTCTTGACAGAAAATTTTTTTTTTTTTTAAGCTGTCTAAAAATTTTCACCCTCTGGCCCTTCCCCACCTGTTTAGGTTACCATCATTAGCTTTCCAGAGGAGTCACCCTCCAAAAAGAAAATTATGGTCACCTACATGTTAAGTACACAACAAAACACAAACATAAGTTATGAGTCTTACCTGTACATCAGCGGATGTCCATCATTACAGTGAAAGTCTGTCCACACGTCCCAGAGCTCTGCTTCTGTTCAAACACATCCCTTATTCTGTAGGGAAAGATAGAAATAAACACAGACATTATATAGTACATCTAAACCATCAGCATTTAAAAGTTAGTATATATATATATATATATATAGTACATAAATACATAGGCATGTAAACAACTACATTAATACATACTTAGTTGTCAAATAGCAAGTGGCCTATTTAAACAAGATGTTAGGTAAAACAACAACAACAATAAAACACATCAACAAATCTATGCGTGTTTGTGCTTTAGTGTCCGCGTGGAGACATATTAAAAACAACACATGAAATTCATCATAACATAACATAAAACTGGCAGCGGAGCACCGCTACAACATATCAGAAGAAATAATGAATACGTGTATCTGCAATCATCTGTAAAACTGCATTAGGAACAGGGCTGTTTAATCCTGCTCCTGCTGAGCCACTTTCCTGAGTTTAGCTCCAAACTGACTGAAAACACCTGAAGCAGCTAATCAAGGCCTTTAGGACCACCAGAAACTTCCAGGCACGTTTGTTGGACCCTAAAAGTTTCTTATTCAAATAAATAATAAAAAAAAAATTAACAAATGATTTTATTTACATTTTGTGTTTGTTTATCAGTTTAAGTTTGACATTTGACGTATCAATAAAGTTCTTAAAGATAATTATGATTGTTTGTACATTTGATTCTGACTGATTTGGTAATACATTGGATTTATTTATTTATTATTTGCCACAACTGCTTATTTAATACAATACACTATTCATCCATGTGAAAGACAGCTCTAAATAAAACTCCATCCAAAACACCTGACAACTCCACAGACTCGGTGTCTCAGGAGATAAAGCATTGCACTTAAATCACGGAGACCTGACTTCACACAAACTCTGTACCTCAGTGGGTAGTCAATTAATGTGTTAGTTGCTTTCCATCATATAAAACAAAGTTCTCAGTACAACCTGTTGTCACAAACTCTGTGGCGCTGAGGATAATCGCTTGCCTTCAAATGTGAGTGTCTCGGTTCAAACCCCGCAAGTTACAGTTCTTCATAACATCATCTAGAAGACCAGAGTTCAAATCTCACTATTGCTTACTTTAAATTGTCGTCTTTACATCCAACAAAGTGCCACAAAAGCCAAGTACAAAACGTAAAAGCCACAGTGGGTTAGTGGTTAAGCACATGTTTTCAGATGATAAGGCTGTGATTGAGGCACGGGTTCAAATCCCACCTCAGTGTGTTCTGACAGCTTTGACAGATTTATTGTAAAATCACATGCAGGTGAATAATGAAATATAATTCAATCCCAGCCAGATCTCTGCGATATGAGTGAGTGTAGTGGGGATGATTCGGGTCCCCCCCGAGCCCTGGCACGACGTCCTGCAGGGGTTATACTTCTTGACAGACTGAAAAAATTTTTTAAGCTGTATAAAAATTTTGAACTGCCGTCCCTTCCCCATCCGTTTAGGTTACCATCATTTGCTTTCCAGAGGAGTCACCCTCCAATACCAGCACTACCAAAACATTATGATATGGTACTCTTTTTAAGAATAGTTTATAACTAAATTCCTTAATATTACAAAATGAAATCAACTATCATTTTTGGAGCAGCCTGACTGCGACCTGTAAAACGGATACGCCCTTCTTCCTCTTTTGCACGTTGCTATTAGTTAAAAAGTATGTCACGCCCTTTAGGTAAAACGACCAATCCGTCACAAGAGGCGTTTCAGTTCTCCACTCTTATTGGTCAGATTCGTCAGTCAATCACAATGTTCGACAGTGCATAAACACACCCACTTTGCATCGTTTTGCGTGACTAAATTTGTTTCTTAGAATCAAAGTGGATTAAAAGTGGATAAACTGTTTTTCAGTTGTGTGTTTACTTTAGAAAGTTAATACAACATGTTTTCTCTCCGCCTGTGGTCTTTTACATTGCATCTTTGTTTTAAGTTGAGGTGATGCCACTTTTACATATTAACGAGCATGAAACCACATTTTATTATCCGACTAACTCCATAATATCTTACGGACCTGTTGTGTGAACAGAACCGCAGGTGACAACTAGTTATTTATGTGGTGTTTCTGTGACTCACGTGGATATGGGCCGTACGTCATCTGCAGGTTCTTCTGTTCGGCAGCTTCAAGTTGTCAATCTGGATGAAAGTGAAGCGCGCTTCTGCCGCCTAGTGGAGCGGATGGGAAACTGTTCTTTAGTTTCAACCAAAAGGGATGACTCGGGTCTAGCCTGCTTTAACATTTACATACTCAAGAATCAATTTATAAAGTTAAATGTGTTAAGGTCAGGTAAACAATAAATAAATTTAAAAAGCGCCCCCTTGTGGACAATTATTGAATATGAGCATTAATTAATCAAAGGACGAACTGTCTGGAGGTGGCAGGTTGTAGGTGAGACGGCTGAGATTTGAGTTTCATATATTTGAAAAAAAATCTATCATTTATATATCATAAATCATTTTCTCAGAATCCCGACCAACGTGAATTCATCAGATTCGGCAAATGAACCATATTTGCTCTCATCTGATCCGGTAAGAAACATAAAATGCTTTGAACTCAAAAGGCACGTGCTCACAATTCCAACACACTTAAAATACAGGACGATCTTCTTCTTTTGTATGGATTTATCTGTTTAAGTAGATGTTTATTTGTCTGTAGTTATTTAAAATGTGTGCCGTGTTTGTTCACAGTTAATGATGTTATTTATGTCTGTGGTTGCAGATTCAAGCAGCATTTATAGTAAAGCTTGAATAGTTTAGGAACGATTGGTTTAAATGGTTAAAGTGAGTGTCAAAATGCCCGTTGACATCAATAATCTATAAACTAATGACTGAATTAACGACTAAAATTATAAATTGTGTCTAATACTGGCTTTTTACTGATTAATATAAAGGCACATGCATGAGATCAGATCAGTGTATCAGCTCCCTTTTGTGGACAGTAAGTGTATCTGCATTAATATATGAAAGGTGCAGTACCTTTATATCTTTTGGTAGAAGCTCTATGCCACTTTCCTGTTAATTTAATTGTGAATGTACTTCAACTCTCTAAAGTGGCACCGTGATATTGGGAATGCACCGAAACATATTTACTATTTCCATAAATGCTAAATATTTCACAAGCACACTTATACTTAATAGCTGAGTCACCGGGACACTTCTTTGTGTTTGCGTGTTAGTGGTAGATAATTTCATGAAACTTATTCTGCGCGTTACATTGTTACGACAGCAGGTGGCGACAAACGGCTGTCTTTATGAACGAGTCGTTGGAGTCGATTCGTTCGAAACATTGATTCATTCAGTAACGAAACAAGTGAGACATTCAGACCGGCCAACGCAAACATTAACAGAACTGCCTGTATCATTAGTTTGTTGATGGATTGGGCAATAAGTATTAAATAAGCATTCCTTTGCCTTTGTTGGAGGCTGATCTTTGAGCATTTTTAATGATTTTAGAGTGCATTTTGACATTAAACTGAAATATTAACTTCTACAAAATCACAGAATATACCTTTTATTGGTCAATGCAAAATTATTGCAGAAATGCTTTTTTTGGCCATGTAGACAAGTTATATGAGCTGCAAACAGGTCATAACCCATTAGTTTTTACTCTTTTAAATACAGCATTTACTGTATGGAATCATGCACTTAGAACTGAATCAAATCAACAATGCAACATAAAAGGTTTACAGAAAGGCACTTAATAATGGACTGATTGAAAATTGCTTGATTACCTCTTGATTTGTTGGTTAATTTCTTTTGTCTTGGATACTTATAACAATGACAACTTTCTGGTTCTTCTTAATCCTGGTCCTGCACTTTTTGTTTTCTCTCTAATCTGACACACTCAGTTGAGTTCATGCAACTTATGCAGCGTTGAATCAGGTGAGAGAGACAAACTAATATGCAGTACTGGACCAGAATCAATGCAGATCTAGACAAATGAACAGTATACACTGAGCAACAACAGGTCCCATTTCAGCATCCATGTTACAGAAGGATTACATTAATATGTATAGCGTACAACTAATGTACATGAACCTTGTACGTACTTAGATGAACAGCTTATTGTTTCTGTGAATGCAAAAATTATGTGTAACATGGACACGATTATTGTAAAGTATTATCCATCACCAATATCTGTTGCGGTTTAAAAGATGCATAAATTAAGCAAAATTCAAGTGAAAAAATCTTGACGTGTTAAATGACTCCATTCCAATATCAGCTGGCATTTGCTGAAATAAAAGCAACACTTTTTGTTTGCATTTAAGGCATAGAACACACAAAACATAAGATTTCCAACAAATGACTTGATTGGCAGGTACATCTTGCATGCAGAGGTTTCTCAGGAAAACAGTTGGTACATTTTGATATAAAGTGAAAGGTAAAGGCATTATTATAGATCCTTTTCAGTTAGCGTGCATGCTGAATATATCTGCATCTGGCAGGTGGTAGCATGGTTATAATTTTGACTTTTTAACTGTTTGTTTTCAGGTGATGTCCTTCTAGAAGGTGAAGCGCCTGTCATTGGAATGGCCCACCTTGTCCAGGCTGGGGTTGCAGGCGAACTGAATCATGGGAGGAGGTCCGCACATGAGGATGAGTGTGTCATCTGCGGGTGGAGGAAGGTGGTTCTTCACCATGTCCTCATTGATGAAGCCTTGGCTGTACTCCCAACCTAACGCATGAAGTTGATTATTTCAGCTTGTCAGCTTCTGCCTGATTATTAATGTCTGGTTGATCTTGATTAAGTCACTTAATCTGAGGTTGTTGATTTGGCTAAACAGCATCTGTAAAAACATGATGTTCTTACCATCTGGAGCCCTGTCAACAGTGAACCACAGCTTAAAACGTGTCGGGTGATTGGCCATGATCTCTTCTAACTCGGGACGTAGGAGAATGTCTTTTTCTGTCTGTTGGAGAAGACAAAAAGAGTAGTGAGTGGGAATAATTATTAGTTTTGAATACTTTCCATAACAACAAACACATTGGTATTTCTGTGCGTAATTGCACTTTTATCATAAAATTATATTTTTGTTCATAATTAGTATTTTGCTAACCTGGTTTGCAAAAAGTAAGTAACACACGGTCTCATCCTTTGTATCTTTCATGATTGCTTGGATTATCTGGAGCATAGGTGTAATGCCTAAAAAAAAAATAAAGATGAGCTCACAAGAAAATCCTTACAAAAAAAAAATAATAATCATGTGCTTACCTGTTCCTCCAGCGATCATGCCAACATGTTTTGCAGTTTTATTCACAGGGTCTGATTTCTTATCAGGCCTGATTGCAAATGATCCTGTAGAAAAGGTGATCCTGTAAGTCACGAGGTGTCTATCATCTTGAAATTAATGTTATAATGTGTATGACGGTCGCATTATATTTTTATGCTTCCAGTGTAATCATTTTTTTCCTTTCCCTTGCAGCAGTGGTTTCATAGCTTCTCCCTGACTCATGGTGGATTTCAAAATTACAAACCTCTGCCTTTGTAAATCAACAGTCCACTTGGCCCCCTGAAATCAATTGTGTCACCAATACGAAGGCTCTCCAAGTATTGGGACATCTTCCCACCCTCAGGAAACTTAGGATGGACATTTTTGTAGTATATCTGAAATAAATGAGGCAACAAAGTGTTTAAACTTGAAAAAACAAAGGCATTTTTAAACGTAAAAAGTTTTGTTTTACAGTTGTACTTATTGTATGTTATACCTTCACAACCAGATCAACAAAGCCCTTGTCATCATCACTAGACACAGGGGTGTAAGGCCTGACCACAAGGTTGCCATCAATTCTGGCAGACAGGTAAATGTGTTGTCCTGCATATGCAACGCATAAACATTAAAGTTAGCACATAAACAGTCAAATGCACAGTGATAGTGTATATACTGCACTCACCAATAGGAAGTCCAAGAACATGATCCGGTGATTTTAAAGCAAAGCGGAACTTTCTTGTGTCATGACTAATAATCTTAAAAGAGTTAGAAATTAGAATTAAATTAGCTGAATGAAACCGATTTATAATACATGTATTTAACAGTTAAACCATGACATTTTAAATTATCCTCACCTCTTTGTCCACAAGACGTAATGGATACTTCACATCAGGGTCTTCAAGGGTAATGGCAGGTCTTCTTTTTATGCCACAGAGCCTCCGGATCAGATCAAACACGAATTGTAAGCTGCCAGAGATGAGCTACGGAAAGTAAAATAAAACGGCATTTTCTAAACATGCAGTAATGTACCAAACAGGTTCATGTGCAAAATTATAACGGGCGTGTGCTGCACAAAGGCTAAAAACAAACGGTGATGGGTGTAAGACCGTCAACAAACCGTAAACATCCTTTCAAGCGATGAAATAGTATTTGAAACATCTGTATACATAAGATTACAGTATGCTATGTTGTCAATATACAGTTGCATGCTGTAAAAAAACTATACGTGGAAAAACGACGTTCTGCAAGCACTTATTTAATATATAGTTACTCACCTTAAAGATGAAGGACATTTTCTCCTGTTGTGTTTACTGAGACACTATCAAGCAACGAAGACTACAGACTACGAATAACTTTACTAAGTTAAGTAAACGACAAACGACAATCACGTCCTGGACAGGGAGGGGCTAAGTGCTGGTCACGTCGTTACGTAAAGATTCAAATCCTTTGTGAATCGTTTGATTTGAATCATCAGTAAACGAGGCTTCGTTACGTCATAACTGTTCGAAACCTTTTGAAATTTCAATGATTCAAGTTATCTCAGAGATCTCAGCTTGAACCAGTGCCTTTGGTTTTCACCTGATCTCAGATCAGTTTAATAATGTAGACATTTTAATTTCACATTTAATATATATAATATATATATATATTAAAAAAAGAGTAGTAGTAGTCAAAAGTAGTATCACAGGTTAATAACACAAACCAGCAGGAACAGCTTTCAACAAAGACACGTATAGTTTCAGAGATGTATACCTAAATATTATTCCAGAAAAGGATTAAATTTCACTTGAGTAAATGTACGAACGTACTTACTTTTTAATGTAGCCTGTTTAAGTAATAAATTAAATTCTACGAACATATCCACATAATCCTTGATAATATTCCAAATAAAAAAATCATTATAATGCAGCCAAAGGTAAATTATGAGAAGCATGAATGATCGTTCATGTTTCTCATAAATAGTTGGTGCTATTCATCTCTTTGACCACCAGACGGCCACAAGTACACAAATAAAGATACCCTAATGAAATATTACTCCAGAAAAACAAATAAGACTGCTTTTTAAAATGGTTTAAATTCAAACTAGATCATTGCCTAACCCAAGTTTTATGTGACGATGTAAAGTTATGACCGTTATGACATTTTAAATTTGTACTATCAACAACTGCATTGTTCTCTATTATAGATCAGTGGTTATTTAATTAATTTGTAGGGGTTGTTTTAACTACAACTCTTCCTTTTACATTAAAATGTCTACAAATGCAAAAAAATTTAAACCGTGTACCAGTGTCAAAATGGTTGTGATCTCAGATCATAGAAAGATCGCCATCTAGCGGCGAACCTTTAAAAATGTCAAACATTTATTTATGACTATGAGCGAAGCGTACAGTTTTGGCCATGACTGTATATTGTTTACTAAAATCACGTGACGGACTCTTGCAATTTGATACGCGCTACGAATCACTAGTTCGAAACATGAAGCAGTATTTCAAAAGCACCATCGCTCAATGGAAACAATAAAATTAATTTGAACATTTTACATTTTTATTTGCTCTTTGTTGTTCTAATACTGACCGTAAACAATACCGGAGAAAAATAAACCCAAAGAAAATAGTAAAACAACGATCTAGTAAATCGAGGTAACGAATTATTAAATCGTGCCCACGATTTTTTTCTTTCTTTTTTTTTTTCTTCTCTTGCATGTCATGTGCGGGGCTCCGTAGTAAAACAAAACTTTAGAAGAACCAGTGAACTTTCGAAACATTTCTCAACAGTTGTGATGTGATGTAGGCTAACTCTCACTGAATCAGTGCTTCTGGGGGTCCAGACAATCAGTGTGGTTCTGGGGGTCCAGGACCACTTAAATACACCGTGGGCAATTAACCAAAACAAATATCAGGTGTAGGCTGTATTGATTACCAAGTTTAATCTCGTCTTTAAAACTACTCAGATCAAAATAAAACGTATGCTTGATTAAACTCTCTTAATTTAATTCTTGTTGCTACCTTCCAAAAAAAACTAGAGATTGGATTCTGTAGTTTAAATTAGGGTGTCAAATCGATTAATCACAACCAAAATAAAGGTTTATGTTTACATAATATAACCTATGTGTGTGTGTACTGTATATGTAGGCCTATATATATGTATTTTTTAAAAAAATTTTTTTATTATTATTTAGTCATTTAGCAGACGCTTTTATCCAAAGCGACTTACAAATGAGGTATATAAATGCACACACATACATGTATGTTTAAGAAATATATGTAATATATTTCTATTTATATATAATAGGCCTATAATCATACATAAATATGATTATATATACATGTAAACATTTCATAAATATATACATGCATGTAGGCCTATGTGTAGGCTATTTATATATACATGTATATACACACATATATTATCTAAACACAAACATTTATTTTGGATGCGATTAATTGTGATTTATCGAATTGACAGCCCTAGTTTAAATCCAAATGTTTCTGATCCCCCCCAAATTCACTGTGATATTTAAATTAGACTTTTCTATGTGAATAAGTCATTGTCATGTAAATAATGAATGTATAATGTACAATGTGTAATATAGAACTAGAATACAGCAACTCCTTTGTTTAATTAATACATTAATGCTATCATTAGGGTTATCGCTGCTCTCCCTGCTCTCATCCATGCTAGGCTGCATGGATGCGCAGGGAGTTCTTGCCCAGAACAGAACCATACCGCCAATCCAAACTGTATGCTAATTGTCAATCATCTTTGACGATAGTGGTCCTGACAGAACTAAATAACATGAACATTTTCTATTTGTTTCCATTTGGGCATTTAACCTGTAAACTCAAGAGACACCAGTTTCTCCTACAAAAACGACTTACCAACTTGATCTCTATCTAACCAACCCTCTTTACATGTTGAGGAATGCATACAATTTCATCCACACTCATCCAAAAACTCTACTGAACACACTTAAAGTTAATCAATCAAGACTCAACAGTTTGTCACAGAAATTTAATGACGACCCAACACAGTGGTCAATCGTGGTCATTTCTATTGACTGTACACAAAATGCATGTCATTGAACAACTGTACTGCAGCACAAGTGTAACATTCTTGTTTTTTCGATTGTTAAACTCAACCACGTCCCTTATATTTACACCAAGTTCTATATATATTTCTCTATATATCTTTTGTACAATGTACAATGTTTTAATCAAGTGAAATGATAATAGCAAACAAATTCTGTTCGACTCTGATTCAGCGAAAGCATGCAGGTTTTTGTCTAATAAACATGTCAAAAGGTGTGCATTAGTGGAGAGTTAAAGCATGTTTAACAGCCTTGAAGCAGAAAAAAGCTGAAGCCAAGAAACACAGAGCAAGTCTTTTTTTTATGTGAGGTGTACAGCTTTTACAAACACTTCATGACATTGACCTCTGCTTTACATCTGGCTACATGGAGAAGCATCCATGCTAAGCACAAGTAATAGGTCAGATGAGAAAACTAACCTTGCATGGACATATTTGTGCCAAGTATTGCTTTTACAAATCCAGTTTTGCGAACACAAATGGTGGGGTTTACTGAAGACATTGCAAATTATCAGGTCCGATCTTCAAAATGACATAAACATGATTTATCCGTGTCAGTTTTTGTGCTAGTTTATCAAAGCAATGGCATTTTGCAAATGCAATGACAGATACAGTTACATTATGACTTATTATCTCTGTTACACAAAATAGCAGACAGGGATTTCACAATAAATGTACTTCGTAAGAAAATAAAGTAACTATGCTAAGTTTCTTTAAAATAAATGTATCTTCACAGTTATAAATTATTTGCATCATGACATTGTTATTCCATAGTCAGCTACATATCAATAATCTATATGTATTTTAATTGGCAAATTTAGCAATAATCCAACTTTTCATGTTACATGAGGATGTTCATAACCAAGTTATTCCATTACTGTACATGAAATATAAATCATACAACACATCTCTAAACAAACCAGGACTCTTGGACCTCACTACCAGCATGTGTAAGATGCGTACCTTTATAATCGTATATTATCCAATATTCATATCTCATGTGTGCCAATAAATTGAGTATTTGGTTGAAATTCTGATGTCATTTCTGGATAATCTTTGGATGAAATGCTTTATATATTTCTAAATCTGTTACTTTGGGTTCAGCCTGGCCAACAAAATCTTCTGCTGGTAACACCATACGTCCAGTACAGTTTCGAACTTGCCAACATCCTGAAGGATTACAGACGAACACAGGAAAACCGGAACATGCTCACTTAAAACAGCTTGTTTGGAGTTGGCTTCACATTTTTCACATTGAACAAAAGCAGTGCAGCAGGTGAGGACTGGGAATATGTACATTGGGTCACGAAGGTGGCGACCAGTGCAATGGCATCTTTCATAACGCATGATTTCGACAGACTCGCAAGCAACGAAGACAGTAGAGTCCCGCACAAAGGGTCGCTAGTAAATCTGCATCCACGAAAAGGAAAATGAGCTTTTTTGTATTTTACAGAAGATCCAGACAGGCTGCGGAGGATCCATGCAGGTTATTTGACACAGATCGTTGGTTATGTGACCTCAAGGCAAGGATGAACTGCTCAGTTTTAAGTGTACTAAGCACCGTGGTAGATTAGAGGGTCTTTAAAATGTGTGGGTTGAAACAAATAGCTCAGGCCTAATGCGCTGGTGGACACAATCGCACAAAGGGTCGCTAGTAAATCTGCATCCATGAAAAGGAAAATGAGCTTTTTTGTATTTTACAGAAGATCCAGACAGGCTGCGGAGGATCCATGCAGGTTATTTGACACAGATTTGACACAGATGTGACCTCAAGGCAAGGATGAACTGCTCAGTTTTAAGTGTACTAAGCACCGTGGTAGATTAGAGGGTCTTTAAAATGTGTGGGTTGAAACAAATAGCTCAGGCCTAATGCGCTGGTGGACACAATGAACTTTCGGTGAGACGTATAAACTAAAAGCAACAAGTTTAGTCTAACATTGGTTGGATAATTTGTGTTGGATCAGTCTACAAATGGCTGAAGGTATTCCTTAGAACCGCAAAGCGTTAAACACAAGTGCTAGGATTTAAACAGCTGGCATTCTTATTGTTCAGTGACACAAATACCAAAAGTCGTAGTTGGATGTGAGTATTAAGTATACAAAACACCTCCTTTGTAAAACTCTCCACCTAGTGGATGTTATTGTCCAACTTGAACACAAATGGCTTAGGGGAACTTGATGGCAGCATCACCTAACTTAACATGCATCGTTTGTTTAGCGTTTAGTGTTACTTGAAGGGAATGTTACACAAATTTAAGGTTCAGAAGGCAGGCTAACAATATAACGTCAATTGGAGAGTAATGTAAAACTGTCCTCGGCAGGTAGCATA